TTACCAGAGAGGTGGAAAGCAGAGAATGGAGGCGACAAAGGATCACAGCTATCATCAGAAAACAGGGGACTGACCCACAACTACAGACAAGTAAAAACTTTATTTGTCCACACCAGGATTAAATTACTGAACATAAAACAAAGGTGGTGGGGGGTTGGTATACTTATACAGCACCACATTTACATGATGGTCTTCAGGAGGCAGCGTTAATCCTACCGTTGTATCACAACCGTTATCAGCAATGCCATTTTCTCTTCCTCCCCCTTCTCAGGCTTCCCTTACGGTCGGCTGCACTCACGTGCTGCTCTCCGGTCTCCTTCCCTAGTACTGTTACATGACAGCGCCTTGCACGTCTAAAAGCACCCTCACATTCATCTGTTCCTTTGATCCTCACAACACCCCTGTGAGGTAGGTAGAGTAATTATGAGTTTTCTACTTTGTAGACGAGTAACCTGAGTTATAGAATGGTGGAAAGGCTGTCCAAGGAGGTACAGGTGTAATGGCTGTGCCTAGCGCACGAGCAGATTCCTGGCTGGCTTTCTTGCACGCTGTCTCCCAGTATTGCAACTTCTCTCCCCTTAGTATTTTTAGTGCATTTTTCTGTCTACTTCTTCAGGACCTTTCCCTTGAGTTTTATTCCCATGTTCAGGTCACTTTACCCATGAGATTTTCACAATACTACCTCTGAACTTCAACTCCACTTCTGTTCCTCAGCACTTCACTCCTCTCCAAGAAATTCCTGCCTAAGTACTCTGATATCATTATTAGGTTTATATAGTACAGGTCTAACTCTCCTTCAAGTACTTCCCTGTTTCTCCAGAAAAATCTACCTATCTATAATAGCATTATCCAGTTATAACTGACATATACCCTTCCATATAGTGACCTAAGACAATTGAGACAATGTATATATCTGGACCCATTTCAACGTCTTTTTAAAAGAAGGAATCTGTATGTCTGGTGTGGTGCTCAGTTCATGAGTATTAATAAACACTAGTACCATAGAATGCTACCTTACAATTGTTACCAGTATTTCAAACATACACTAATATGCTGCTATGACTGAAAGTATTACAATTAAATTCACTTCCACTTTGCCTTTTTTTAATTATGCTATTTAAAAGATTTTTAGAACTGGAAGGTACTAGAAAAAAGTCACCTAGCACAAGCCCTCAATTTAGAGATGAGGAAACCGAGGCACGCAAAGGGCAAGGGATTTGCCCGATGAAACGAACTGGGAAGGTTTGGCATCCAGGCGTTCTAACTAGATTCCAGCGTACTCCACCATGCCAGCTGCCTCCCCCGTCCACCGCACATTCGCTGAGCAGCGTGTCTACCTGCCATCTATTCCTGGTTCTGGGTACGGTCCCACTGTTGTTCTGACCATTTCTCCACCCATCTGCATTTCCAGTATTTAGCTAAGCACCCGTGCCTGCAAAATATAAAACCTCACCTCTCCCAACATGCCCACTTTTTCCCCCCAGCTTCTGGACTGTAGGGAAGCTTTATAAATCCCAAAGATTCCTATCTGCATTTCCTGAAAGTACTAAGAAAACCACTAAAAGCTTTAAGTTAGTTTAATGATGGCCAGTACTGGCTTCCCTTCTAAAGTAAAGTGGAAGTTTGGCGTATCACCTTCATCTCTTCCAAAGAAGTGGGGGGGAGGGATGAGAGTGGTGCATTTGTTGAGGGCTTGTGCTTAAAAGAAGTCCTCCATTCCAGGCAGTCTTTATCCACACCACCCTCTAGTGTTTCCAAAGCTAAAGGGGAAATAAAGCTGTTCTCTTCCACCGTATGCCATTAACTACGTGGACTTTTGTCTGCGACACTTGAGAAAAAGTAACCTTGGAAAGTTCCTTTGAAGGCAAGTTTTCTAGGGCTTTCCCTCTGTAACATACTAGACAAAAAACAGCTAGCAGAAAAGAATGAAATTAGCTAAAAGAAGACTGGAAACTGATATAATCTGAATGGGAATGGTGTCCACAATCCTCAAATGGCAACCGAAATTTAAAGATATAACTTAGGCATATAAAGGGACCCGAATACTATGGAAAGCGAAGAATTTACTTACATTTAACATTTTATAAAACAGCCAATATTTAATTATATCAAAGATTATCAACAGGAACCATAACATACTATTGTGACTCCCTGCTGGTTCTTAATTACATCCTTATATTGACAGGAGACTAAGAACTAGTAAAATGAAGGAAGGAAAGATGGTCTGACTGCTTCCTTAGCAGGAATGTCAAAGACACAGCAGTGAAAATGTAAGAGATACAGGTACAAACACATGTTGTGTGGATACTAGCCTAATGAGCCACAGAGGGGTTTAAAAACTTAAGATCCCAAACTCCATGAAGCGGTCAAGTTAAACTAGTGAAAAAAGACTCAAGCAATGAGGTCATGGTATACAGCCATACTTCTGTATCTTGTAAACTGACGTGCCGCACCCTGGTCTTACCGCAGCCAAGGTCTCAACAAGTTGAGAAAACACCTTTCACAGTTTCATCACCACTCGCTCTCTAGGCTTCTCTGCTGCTGGCATGAACAAGCTACTGTTAAGGTGGCAAAACTGTGTCAATAGTTTAGGTGCACACTTTGATTGTACTGCTCCTTGTTTGAGACATAATAAATTACACTTTCGATTCAAAATTGGACATTTCATATTTAATGACCTAATATAATTCCAGCATGACACTTCTTGGTGTTTTCTTTAAAATAGAATTTAAGTCAACCAGGATAATTTATCCTATTATGTGTAGGTTATCTACTACTCAGACAGGATTAATTTGCCAGGAAGGATATTTTGTGGAATCCATACAACTACTAGAAATGGCAAATTATTTCTCAACTGCCATGCAAAGAGGGCTCTGTCATCTGAGGACAGAAAGCACGTGTAGCGCTGAGGGCCACGTACAGGCCAGACGCTGGAGAGTAGTTACCAGAGAGGTGGAAAGCAGAGAATGGAGGCGACAAAGGATCACAGCTATCATCAGAAAACAGGGGACTGACCCACAACTACAGACAAGTAAAAACTTTATTTGTCCACACCAGGATTAAATTACTGAACATAAAACAAAGGTGGTGGGGGGTTGGTATACTTATACAGCACCACATTTACATGATGGTCTTCAGGAGGCAGCGTTAATCCTACCGTTGTATCACAACCGTTATCAGCAATGCCATTTTCTCTTCCTCCCCCTTCTCAGGCTTCCCTTACGGTCGGCTGCACTCACGTGCTGCTCTCCGGTCTCCTTCCCTAGTACTGTTACATGACAGCGCCTTGCACGTCTAAAAGCACCCTCACATTCATCTGTTCCTTTGATCCTCACAACACCCCTGTGAGGTAGGTAGAGTAATTATGAGTTTTCTACTTTGTAGACGAGTAACCTGAGTTATAGAATGGTGGAAAGGCTGTCCAAGGAGGTACAGGTGTAATGGCTGTGCCTAGCGCACGAGCAGATTCCTGGCTGGCTTTCTTGCACGCTGTCTCCCAGTATTGCAACTTCTCTCCCCTTAGTATTTTTAGTGCATTTTTCTGTCTACTTCTTCAGGACCTTTCCCTTGAGTTTTATTCCCATGTTCAGGTCACTTTACCCATGAGATTTTCACAATACTACCTCTGAACTTCAACTCCACTTCTGTTCCTCAGCACTTCACTCCTCTCCAAGAAATTCCTGCCTAAGTACTCTGATATCATTATTAGGTTTATATAGTACAGGTCTAACTCTCCTTCAAGTACTTCCCTGTTTCTCCAGAAAAATCTACCTATCTATAATAGCATTATCCAGTTATAACTGACATATACCCTTCCATATAGTAACCTAAGACAATTGAGACAATGTATATATCTGGACCCATTTCAACGTCGTTTTAAAAGAAGGAATCTGTATGTCTGGTGTGGTGCTCAGTTCATGAGTATTAATAAACACTAGTACCATAGAATGCTACCTTACAATTGTTACCAGTATTTCAAACATACACTAATATGCTGCTATGACTGAAAGTATTACAATTAAATTCACTTCCACTTTGCCTTTTTTTAATTATGCTATTTAAAAGATTTTTAGAACTGGAAGGTACTAGAAAAAAGTCACCTAGCACAAGCCCTCAATTTAGAGATGAGGAAACCGAGGCACGCAAAGGGCAAGGGATTTGCCCGATGAAACGAACTGGGAAGGTTTGGCACCCAGGCGTTCTAACTAGATTCCAGCGTACTCCACCATGCCAGCTGCCTCCCCCGTCCACCGCGCATTCGCTGAGCAGCGTGTCTACCTGCCATCTATTCCTGGTTCTGGGTACGGTCCCACTGTTGTTCTGACCATTTCTCCACCCATCTGCATTTCCAGTATTTAGCTAAGCACCCGTGCCTGCAAAATATAAAACCTCACCTCTCCCAACATGCCCACTTTTTCCCCCCAGCTTCTGGACTGTAGGGAAGCTTTATAAATCCCAAAGATTCCTATCTGCATTTCCTGAAAGTACTAAGAAAACCACTAAAAGCTTTAAGTTAGTTTAATGATGGCCAGTACTGGCTTCCCTTCTAAAGTAAAGTGGAAGTTTGGCGTATCACCTTCATCTCTTCCAAAGAAGTGGGGGGGAGGGATGAGAGTGGTGCATTTGTTGAGGGCTTGTGCTTAAAAGAAGTCCTCCATTCCAGGCAGTCTTTATCCACACCACCCTCTAGTGTTTCCAAAGCTAAAGGGGAAATAAAGCTGTTCTCTTCCACCGTATGCCATTAACTACGTGGACTTTTGTCTGCGACACTTGAGAAAAAGTAACCTTGGAAAGTTCCTTTGAAGGCAAGTTTTCTAGGGCTTTCCCTCTGTAACATACTAGACAAAAAACAGCTAGCAGAAAAGAATGAAATTAGCTAAAAGAAGACTGGAAACTGATATAACCTGAATGGGAATGGTGTCCACAATCCTCAAATGGCAACCGAAATTTAAAGATATAACTTAGGCATATAAAGGGACCCGAATGCTATGGAAAGCGAAGAATTTACTTACATTTAACATTTTATAAAACAGCCAATATTTAATTATATCAAAGATTATCAACAGGAACCATAACATACTATTGTGACTCCCTGCTGGTTCTTAATTACATCCTTATATTGACAGGAGACTAAGAACTAGTAAAATGAAGGAAGGAAAGATGGTCTGACTGCTTCCTTAGCAGGAATGTCAAAGACACAGCAGTGAAAATGTAAGAGATACAGGTACAAACACGGATACTAGCCTAATGAGCCACAGAGGGGTTTAAAAACTTAAGATCCCAAACTCCATGAAGCGGTCAAGTTAAACTAGTGAAAAAAGACTCAAGCAATGAGGTCATGGTATACAGCCACACTTCTGTATCTTGTAAACTGACGTGCCGCACCCTGGTCTTACCGCAGCCAAGGTCATATGCATTAATAACTTAAATGTCTATAGTGCTTTTAAACTTTTAAACTCTTTCACATCTATTAGCCATTTGACCCTCACAACAACCCTGTGAGGTAGGCAGGGCAGGAGTTATTATCGTCCCCATTTTACAGATAAGGAAAACTGTTGTAGAGAGGTAAACTAAATTGCCTTACATCAGAGACAAAGCCAGGTCGAACTAGCTCTCTCGGACTTGGCTCCATCCATTTTCTACTAGGCCACCCCTCACATTTCTGAAAGGTCTTACAATTAGTGGAGAATCTCGGGGAAAGGTATCAGCAAGTATACTACTACTCCTCTGCAGATTAATGGTTCATCCACTCTTTTTCTCTGAGGACACAGAAAAGGAGCCAGGGTCCTACAAAGCAAGTGTTGGAACTAGACTTCTACCAGTTTAGGAAATAAACTCTTGTAATCAGTTCCTAGCTTTTGGTGTTCGAAATCAACCTCTGAAGCAATTTTTCAAGGCCTAGCTGAAAAGCACCAGTTGCTTCTTCCACTGCTGTCGCCAAACGTCTGACCGCGATGACAGCGTCCCTGCGGAGCTCATTGGCAGTGTCTTGCTGAGCACTGGCCTCCTCACCAATAGCAATCAGCCTGTCCAGTTTTTCTTCCTCACGCTTTGAAAGTTCTCGTGCCAATCTCCTGTTTTCTGCCAACTCGGCTGCAATAGTCCTGGCCACTGAGCGCCTTCTTCGCCTTGCCCACCTTGGAGGGGGCTCACTGGTCAAAGGCCTATCCCCACCAGAAACAAAACCAACTCTGGGAGAGGAGACCGGAGGCCGTGGTGTGGAGGCTGCACCAGGAGTGTTGCGGCTGGTGCTGGCGCAGGGACTGGGCTCCCTGGACACACCCAGTCTGCTCATGGGGCTGCTCTGACAGGGAGCAACTGCACCTCTGAAAAGGCTGTGGGAGTTGCTGTAGCTGGGGGTCCCTTGAGAGCACCCTGTAAAACAAAGCAACAATGTTGCAAAGAGGATACTCCTGCTAAGGGAATGCTTGCAGCCAGCAGCAGAGTTTAGAGACAATTACAAGACTATGGCAGTTCCTGGAAAGGTGCCTTTCTGCCAGGGATTGGAAGAATTCATTTTTAATGTGGGCATTCATTTTTAATGTGGCCTGTTTAATCTTACCCCCAGAACTTCCCCTTTGCCTTCTGTAACCCCTTTCCAAGTAGCTATCCAACCTGCTCTATAGCTACAAATCCCTAAGTACCCATAACAAATGATGCCAGAACTAGTTTGGTTCTAAAGAACACTTCGGGGTTTGAAGAGTTCTAACACCTTACCTATCTAGGGCCATAGCTTTTTAAAACCTGGAGGTTTTATCTTACTGTTAGGTTTAAAAAAGAGGGGCAGCATTAGGGGTAGCAGAAGTAGGGAATATGCTCAGGAGGGCAATATCCAAATATACACTGCTGTTTAGAACCAAGTGACTCGGGGACCCCAATCCTGCACATGCCTGGGAGTTACCTGCACCCGGGGATTCATCCCAGGAGTCCTCGAGGTCACTGGTTTCTCGTATCCGGTCACTGATTCTCAGCTGACAATCCTCATCTGATTCCTTAACTGTTTTCAAGATAGGCTGAAGATCAGCTGCCTGAGTCCTTTTTGCTTTCAGAATGCTGGTTCCCTCTTTCCCTGGTGTGTCAGAGGCCACTAAAGTCTGATCACAGTGCTTGGCCCAAGCAGCATCCTCCATTAAGTTGTCTGGGTCAGTCACTATCTGATTTCGGAGAAGCTGATCCAACGTATCATAAAATGGGCAGTGTGGTGGGTCACCCATACTTGTGGCATGGGCCACATAGGCCTTTAAATATAATGCCTTCAGAACTTTAAACTTGGAGCGGCACTGACGTTCGGTGCGGCGGAAGCCTTCCTGCTGCATTCGCTTAGACACAGCCTGATAGACGTCTGCATTGTGATGCACAGTCTGGAGGCGCTGAATATACTCTGCCTCGCCTAGTATGGAGAGGAGAGTTCGTGTCTCCTGTCTGGACCACCGGATGCCCGCACTGCTATTGGTACTGGCCATGGCACGTTGGGAAGGAAGGCTGGAAAGCTCCTGTGCGGCAAGGTGCAACTCTGAAGGTGTGGGGAAGCTCTGTGTGTTCTCAGTGTATTTCCAGGAGCCAGCCGATTCTTCCCTCTCAGGGACAACTGCTGAGAAGCCAGGTCCAAGCACTGAATTTCTGGCTGGAAGGCCACAGGGGAATGAGAGTTACAGGGAGAGCGTAAGGATAATTTTGGCAGCAAGTTAAGTGGTGCTACGTGTGAGTAAGTCATAAATAGGCATGAGCCCAAGACTGAGAAAGCTCCACTTTGGGAGTCTGCCCAGGATGGATACTGGACCAGGGGCTTAATGGCTTGCAAAAGGACTGGCTCGTCCATAAAGGGCCAAATGTTTCTAAGGCTGAGACCTGGTACAACTATGAATCTGTAAAAATCACCATTGACTGGTGAGTAGGACAGGCGGAGAGGGAAAGCAACGTGGACCATGAGGCAGCTAACTCTGGAGAAGCCCTAGAAGGACCATGGTGTAGCCATAGTCTAAAAGGTGCTCATGCTTTACTGATCTTGACCTAAGAATCACACTGTGGCTGTGTTACCTATCCGACTGTCACCATTCTACTCCTTTGCTAAAAGGTAACTTTCAGGGCTAGAAAACTGAGCTTGAGTTGTTCTGCTAATATAAGACTTTTTGCATAATATGGCAAAAGACAGCCACATCATTACTGTAACCATCTGCCCCCAAATAGCAGCATAAAAGAAAGAAAAACATTGCTAAGGAAATGTTCTATATCTGGATATATCAATGTCAGTAACTTGGTTGTGATACTGTACTATAGTTTGTAAGATGTAACCACTGGGAAGTAGTAAATCCAGTAATATGCCAGATGTCTCTATATTATTTCTTACAGCAGCATGTAAGACTACAATTATCTTAAAATAAAAAGTTTAATTAAAAAAACAGACACACTGTTGGCTACTAAGTGATTCCAGCTTCCTTTTGTCCAGACTGCAGACTTTATGATTTAAAAATATTTGACCAACTTTTTTGAGACAAGGTCTCATTCTGATGACCAACCGAGTGCACTGCGATCACAGCTCCCACTCAAACTCTTAGGCTCATGCAATCCTCCTGCCTTAGCCTCCCAATTAGCTGGGACTACAGGCATGAGCCACTGTGTCCTGCCTACTTACTTATTTTTAATGTGCTTAGTATTAGTACTAAGTTTGTCAATAGGTAAAAGGATATGGGAATATATTTATTGTCACAAAATATTGAATTCTCTCTAAAATACTATAGTTTTTGGCTCAGTGCATAAATACCTTAAGGAAAAAAATTAATATCAAGCTCAATTTAACATAGGTAAGAAATAAGAAATATACACATAAAAGAAATAAATATTAATCTATAATCTCCGAATCCTAAAATCAACATGAAGAAATTTCTATTTAAATTTCTCACTAAACAAAGTAGAAAAGAAACTGGGGCTGAAGGTTAGGAGAACTGAACTGCAATCTTACCTAGTTCACTCCTTCTAACTATTTTAGAAATGCCACATTTCTCTGTGCCTTGATTTTCTCATCTATAAATGGGGAGAGATAGTACCTGTCCTACCAATTTTACAGGGATGTTGAGAGGATTAAATAATAGATGTGAAAGCACTTTGAAAATTTAAAAACACTCTATCACGTATTACTACTATAGTGAAAATGAAAACCCTTAATTACTGTAATCTATAATTTGAGGAGACAGAAGTCTGGAGAGGCAAGCCTCTTTAATCTTCTAATTAAAGTTACGACAGACGATTGACCTGATTCTTACATAAGACATTAATTAAGCTGTTTCTCTAATGATTAAATTTGTAAGCCAACTGGAAAAGTTACTTCCCACAAAGTGTCACAAAAGACCCTAAGGAAAATCAATAGCATCTATATAAATTATAACCAATTGTAATAGGTTTTGCAAAATTCAACCACCGTGCAAAGAACTCTTCAAATTCCTACAAAATCTTTGAATTTCCCTCAATCAAAAAAATATGAGAATGTGAAAAGTCCAAGTTATTACCTAGGAATGACGCAAATTATCAAAATTAAATGAATGTTTGCATTTATCAACACTAACAGACCTGTCACCAAGAAATGTCTGAGTGAATTCCATCCTTTAGAAGATCCCATAATAATCATCAAAAGAAACAGCCTACTGGGGTACTCTCTGAAATGACTCAGTCATAAAAAACAATAACAAAAAAACCAAACTATGGTGTTCCCAAGTTTCATTTCATATTATACTTAGAATTTATGAACATGTTTTTATTACCATGTTTAAAAGTATCATTTTGTTCCATACCTTCTGCCAAGGATCTGCTTTACTTTCATTACTGTATTTGAAATATTTCTTATTCTACTTTGTTTTGCTGCCAGTCCAACAATCTGAAAAAGAGCAATATATTGCAATGAATGTAATGTTTAATTATTTCGAAGTATAAAAATAAGGAGAACAGTACCTCTTCATTTTCTGAGTAAGCAACAACAGCTGGAGTAACTCTGTCACCTGCATCATTTGCAACCACATCAGCCCGGCCATCCTAGAGAGAAAAAAACGCACAACTATATTAGTTCTTTCGAAATGAAATATACAGTCGCATTAGACATATTCTGACATATGTGGGCCAGTGTTACTTTGCCATCTACGTGGAAAGAAAAAACTACTATGTCAACATCTTAAAGTTGTAGATTTAATTATTATTAATTTCCTAGTTTTCACAGGTCTACATTCCCTGAGGAATGACCTCATTTTTTCAGTCTGCACAGTCAACAACTGGATCAAACATAATAAACCTTTCTATACACAATAATAATAAGCCTATTATTACGTCATCCTTCTATTTCTCTTCCTTCTCCCACAAATACATCTTTCTTCCCTTTGACACAAAAAAAGTAGCACTAATCCCTTTGGCTTTTCTTTACAAACCACTGGACATTTAAACGCGGGAGTAGTAGCAGGGAAGTTCATTATTACAGTTCCTTCCGCCTCCCCACTGATGAGAGAAAGGCCACAACTCCTTGTTAAGCTCTCTCTCACCGGCAGAAAGGCCAAGTCCGGAGAGCGTGCTCCATCAACCGGCTTCACAGCCAGACACGCTTCGAAGGATCAAGAGCTCTAGTTCTAGACTGCGGCCACCCCGCCCCTCTGAGTCCTAGACTTTCCGGCCCAGCTCAGCACGTCCTGCGGCCCTGAGGTCTCTGCGACCACCAGCCTCTGGCTATCTCGCGGTCACTACGTCCCCAGGACCACCCGCCCACAGGAATCCTGGGACCCTCCGAGCATCCCGCGGCCCTACAGTCCCTGGGACCCTTCCCGGCATCCTGCCTCCACGACATCCCCCAACCTCGCGCGCCAGCGTCGCCACGAGCCTCCGCCGGGGAGAGCAGCAGACTTTCCGGAGGAGCCTCGGGGGACGAGGCTGGGCCCGCTCTGCCCTTCGCCTCGAAATGTCCCTGCAGCAACGCCACTCTGAGCGGCGTTCCTAGGCCGGCGACGCGGCGTTCCTAGGCCGGCGACACGCCGTCCTCATGCCTGTAGATCACCCCGCGCCCAGAGAGCTGGGTGGTCGACACGAAGCCGTAGCCCAGCGGCCCTAGTCCTCACCTTGTAGACGGCCACACAGGCTGAAGTGCAGCCCAGGTGAACCCCGATGGCCGCCATGAGGCGGCAGGGCCGGCGGTGGCAGCGGCAACGATGAGTCCTGCAGCCGCAACAGCTACCGGCCGCCGAACGGGCCCAGCACGCACCGCGGAGACTTCACGTTCCCGCCCGCCCACTGCGTCCGGTCCGCCGCGTCGGCCTCGCGCGTCGCCACCAATCAGCGTGAAGGTCCCTCCTTTCCGCACGAGGAGTGGGCGAATAGCTTTAGTGCGTCTCTGCGCGCTCCGCGGGAGCTGCGCCGCGCTTGTGAGAGTGCGCACGCGCCAAGCGCAGGAGGGAAAGGCAGAGACGCCTTCGCTCCGCCCCCTTCTGTGCCCGTTTCGTGAGAGCCAATGGAAGCTGTCGGTTGAGTGGCGTCATTTGTCCTAGCAACCCGGGGCAGAGTCTTTCCCACCCTGGGCTCGGCGCTCCAGCGAGCTGTAGCAGCGCGGCTGGCGGTGCGCGCGGGTGACGGCGGCGGTTAGAGCTGCGGGCTCAGCATGTGGTGCGCGAGCCCAGCTACCGTGGTGGCCTTTTGCGCGGGGCTCTGGGTCTCTAGCCTGGTACCGGCACAGGGCCAGGGGGCCGACTGTGAAGGTGAGCGGTGTGAGCCCTGCTTGCATGGCGGCGGCACCGCGCGGCAGGCAGCTGTTGTCCTTGGCTTCTCCGGCCCTGGCTGTAAATTACATGTCACTCGGCAAATGCGGGCCCTGTCCCTGGTTTCACACAACCCACGCCTAGGCAAAAGCTGGAGCTGGGCCCGGTGACACCTTGAGGCCACGTTATGGTTTTGCTGTGACTATTACACTGCTGCAATAAAAGCTGGAGGGTTACGATGTGGGTTAGGTTTTGTGCACACGCTGCTAGACTCAGCTGACCCTGGCGCCAGACTAATTCTGCTGCTTCTAACCGGCGAGACTTGCCTCTCCGTGCACAGAAGACGTCTTTGAAGTCCAAGCTAATTTGTGACTCCCAGAAGAAAAATAAAACATGACACTGAGTTGGGGTGGCTTAAATCAGAGGTCATGGCAAACATTTGTTAGGATTCTGTAGGTGACAGTTGCTTTACAAAGGAGTGCCTTAACTCCTTAGGTAGGAGAGGAATACAAAAGAACGATCCTTTTGCTGTTCACGGTGTCTCAGCTGTGGACTTGCACTCAGAGCACGTGGGTCTATGTCTCGCCAAGCCCACAAGCTCTAGGGCTGTGGACAAGCTCTTGCACAAGCTCTTGCAAAATCAGCATACTTCACTTTAGAGAGCTGTTAAGAGAAAAGAAGATAAATGGATACGCTAGCCCTTTCCTCCTGGAGTACTATAGCACTCACTTCATGTTTTGGTGAAAATAATTAAGTGTATATCCCCTGAGCTTGAGGATCAATCCCCACTGAACAGGAAATTGTAGGCTCACAATGTATGTTTAAAGAATGGATGAGTATAGTCTGCACTATAAATAAAGTCTTAATAATTGGAGGCCAGCTTTCTATTAGCCCTGCAATAATTTTTTTCTCCAGAAATTTAAAATATCTACATGATATTTTAAACTTGATATAGACATTTGTTTAGCTAAGTTATAATTTTGCTTAAAGATGTCATAGAATTCTATCCTATACAATTAAAGCCAAATTTGTGAGGCATAGACGGTTGATTTGATAAGTCATCAGTAATTTATTTTCTGCAGCTTCTACCTAAAAATGTTTGAGAATTGACAGCATTTTGATTAATTAAATGTGAAGCTTATGCTGTCTTTTCTAAATTTATTACAGCATGTTGTGATTATTAACTTGCGTATCTGACTAACCTGTGTATTTATTTCATTTGTTAGGTAAAGAGGCTGTATAATCATAGAGGAAGGAAATATTAGTTTGGGGACAAAAAGAACTAGAGTCTAGATATGGCTCTATTACTGTTTATGAGCCTTTCTTATTTGCAACTTAATTTCTCCTCAATGTGTAAGATTAAAATGCTATATTATGTATACTAGAGCAAAGTTAAAAAAAAAACAAAACGGATGGTTCATGAGCCACCTCAGATCTATTGATGTATTTTGTTAAGTTTACGAAGTATTTTGAAAATATTTAAGTTAGTCAGTTACATTTTAGAATTGGGAGATTTCATAGAAAAATTCAGATTTCTGGCTTTTTTCAGAAAACCAGATGACCCAACATGACTGGCCCATGTGGCCATGTAGTAAGAATTAGTTGTGCCTGTTCTTTTTAAAAAGCATATGTGTTCCCCAGGTCTCGAGGGGGTGTTTTGTTTTGTTTTGTCTTGTTTTTTAGCTTAGACTCAAATTGCTTAACTCATTCATTTTCCTTGCCTGTGGATATTTAAGTTTGTGAGCTTTGTGTTAGGTAATGTGAAGCTTACTGGAAACATGTAAATATTTCTGGATCTCTTTAAAAGGATTATATTATTATAGCACTATTTTAAAAAAAACTTTCTTATTTTGAAATAATTATAGATTCACTTACCGGACTATCTTTAATAAACAAAAAACTACAACATAAATAAAAAGCATATGATTATCTGAAGTTATATAACAATAAAAGACATCCCAGGAACCTTAAGTTACTCATTTGTTTAGTGATTTATGATTCTCTTTGTGTAAGTCTGAGGAATGAGTGTCCCTTCTCGCCTTGACTTCTTTCCCTTTCGGAAACTTTCTTCCCTTGAATGCAGTGACACTACTTTTTTCCTCGCCTTTGCTTCCTATTTCTGTGCCCACTTGTCCAAAGCATCTTTGTGGGCTTCCAATCCTCTAGCCGTGGCTTAAATACTAGGATTTTCTGGGGTTCTGCCCTCTGCCCTTATCTCTTCTCAGTCTACACAGTCTTTATTCTGTGCAATCGAAATCAATTTACCTACAGTCTGATACATCCCAAACCTTTGTGTCCAACCTGCCTCCTTTCTAGAGTTCCAGACCTTGCCTCTAATTGACTACTGAACACCCCCTTTAGAAACTCCAGACTAATCTTTCTTCCTTTTCCCTGATAGCCAATCATTGTGTCCATTGATTCTACCTCCAGACTGACTCTACTCCTTTCTCCTTACCCAGGTCCAATGCCTTGTTACAGACCTTCACCATTTTTACCTTCCTCACTGCTACAAGAGCATTCTTCCTGCCACCTGCCTCCCTCCTGTCTAGTCTCCTGGCAGAGTTGTCATGTTACCTCCTCATTTAATATCTTTCACGATTTCCCAGTTTCTTCCAGAGGTCTCTCCTTTGTTTTCCCACAGTATCTAGTACACTCCTCCTATCGTTTAATAATTGTTTTGGTCTCCTCCATGCAACTGTGCAATCTGAAAGTCAAGACTATTTCTCTCGCCAGATTATTTCCAACAGCTACTATAGTGCATGGCATCTGGTAGGCACTCGATTTGTTGAACAAATGTGTGCGTATATACGGTGATAAAATTTTGTGTATCTTAGTCACATGTATACCTTGAAAAGCACAAGAATTTCTAACTCATCACGTACCTAGACAATACAGAATGACAGTTGAGGTATAGGAATCATATAAAGGCATATTGTGGAAAGCAGGGTAAGAGCTATGAGGCACTTGAGTGCTGGGTTGTAGGAAGACAGGAATAGAGGTCACTTAGGAGACTTTGATGATAGTTTCTGCTGACTTGTAGCACTGTTCATTAAAACAGGTGTCTTCTTTGAATGCGTGACATATTTGTTAATTAAACTCAGCAAAATATATGTTGGGAGAGGTCTCATTTTTCACATTCTATCAGTAGCCTTTAACATAGCTGATCAGTTATGTCCTTTTAACCCTGTCTTCACTTGCCTTTTGGGACAACATTCGTGCTTTCTTCTCATCCCACCTCACTGGCTGCTGCTTTCAGTCTTTTTCTGGTTCTTTCCCATCTTCCCAATTTCTGAACGTTGGAGTTTCACAAGGCTGAGACCTGGGACTATGTCTCTTTTCCATCTCCTCTTACTCTGTGGTCTCTTCTCAAAAATACTATTTGAATGTTGATGACTTGCAAATTTACATGTTCATCCTAGACCTCACCCCTGATCTCCAGATTTATATATCCATGCCTGCTCTCTGTTTCCAGTTGGATGTTGTATTAGTCAGGTTTTCCAGAGAAACAAAACCAATAGGATATATTTCCTTAATCTCCATTTCATACACACACACACACACACACACATATACACATATATGGAGAGAGAGAGAAAGATTTATTGTAAGGAATTGGCTCACAGGATTATGAAGGCTGGAAAGTCCGAAATCTGTAGTGTGGGACCGCAGGCTGGAGAACCAGCAAGGCCAACAGTGCAGATGCAGTCTGAAGGCAGTCAGTGCACTGGAGAATTCCCTCTTGCTTGGGGAGTCTGGTCTATTTTATTCTATTCAGGTCTTCAACTAATTGGATGAGACCCACCCACATTATGGAAGGCAATCTGCTTCACCCGAAGTGCATTGATTTAAATGTTAATCTCATTCAAAAACATTCTCTAACTTGACACATAAAATTAACCACCACAGATTCTTGGAAGTGTCTAGAACTTCATATGTCAAGACTAGGTTCCTGCTTGTCTTCACAAACTTACTGCTGCTGCAGTCTTCCCCATTTCAGCAACTCCACAGTTTGTTTCTTAGGCCAAAGTCATTGGAATTACTCTTGACTCCTCTTTCCCTCTCCCTCTCCCTCTCTGACATGTCACATCCAGCCCATTAGCAAATTCTTTTGTATCTTCCTTCAAAATATGTCCAGAGTCCAACCAACCACTTCTCATCACCTCCAATGCTACCACCCTGGCCTAAGAGATGCAGCTATTTTTAGAACCTCCAAACTTATCTTTCTGCTTTCATTCTTGCTTCCTTATAGTCCATTCTCAAGACAACCTTCAGAGACATACTTTAAAAATCATGTCAGATGAAAGATGGAAAATGTCAGACCATAGTCCTTCTCTATTCAAAACTTTTAATGGCTTCCCTTCTCTGAGTAAGATCCAAAGGCCCTGGATGACTTGGCATGCTGCTGTCTGTTTGACCTCATTTTCTATTCGTCTCCCTCTTGCCCACACTGCGTTAGCCACACTGGCCCTCTTACTGTTTTTTGGACCCATCAAGGACACTCCTGTGATAGAACCTTTGCACTGGAGCCTTTGCTATTCCTTCTGCCTAAGAGTTCTTCCTCAAGCAATCCTCTTAAGTTGGTCTCTCACTTCCTTCAGGTGTCTGTTCAAATAGCACTTTATCCAAGAGGCCTTCCCAGACCACCCCATTTAGAATAATACTATTACCTTGTCACCCTTATCCCCTTTTGCAGGTTTATTTTTCTTCTTAGCCACAGATACTTTTCTTTATTCAACAGAACATAACCCTTGAGGGTAAGGACTTTGTTTTCCTCATTTCCAAATCTCAGGAACCTACTGTCTTGAGCTTACTAGTAGCTCGATAAATATTTGTTAAAAGTATGAATGACTGGCTCTTATATTTAGTGTTCTGTTCCCATTAATAGCATTAGAAATGAATATATACGACTTTAAGCTCTAAAAGATGACATGACTGGCCCTCCATCTGGACACAAAAATATGGGATAAAATATAAAAATTTAAAAATATTTTAAAGTGTTGGCTGGGAAAGTATACCCAGAAGCCAAAAACAAAGTGAAAATGGGAGCCAAAGAAGGTACAAAAGAACGTGCAGCCAGCTTTGCCTTGAGAGCATTCCAGGTGTTCTAACTGAGGTTTTCATG